ATCGCCGGCAGCCTGACTCGGTCGTCTCGTCTTTGCAATGTCTGCCGGCGGCGTCTGATCTGATTAAGCCAGCCTGCCCCGAGGCTCGATCGATTGGACTCTGCAGCGGACGTGGCGCGTTCTTTTTATTTGTCCCATTTCCTACTCTTGTCCCCTTCGCGTCGCAGACAGTCGGCGATCTGTCTTAGTCGTCGTGTTTCACGAAATGGCACGCAAGCGCTACCGCCAGCCTCGGTTCAGCTTAGCCGAAATGCCAAGTTGTCGGGTTGTCGAGTCATCGGACGATCAACTCGGCCATCATTCCGGTCAAGTTGGATCTGCGTAACGTCAGGTTGGCCTTTTGTCTCTTTCGTCAGGTCTTGTCAGGTCTGTAAATGCGTCCCGATCTCGCATGTCGGCTGTTTTTCCGCTGCTCGAGCGGTTCTACTCGTTTTTCCGCAGTCACTCGCTGCATTTCCTCAAACCGGCGGGACGTTTGCAGTCTCTTGCACAAACAAACCCTCTCGAAGGCCATTCAATAAGTCGTCGATCTTCCCACATTCATGCTTTGAGTCCTGGTCGTTCCGGTTTACTTGGTCTTCTGTCCCTTGTTGCTACACCTCCAGTAGGTTTTATTCCTTTCTTTGCTCTACCGAATGCAATACAACCAGAAGTTGTAAAGGAATGCAACCCAATTTTCTCGTGTAGTCGACAGAAGAATGCAATTTTGTAACCACATGCTACTTCCCAATTGTCCTGCTGGCATCACCTCAGTCGGGCATATACCCAAAATTCTTGGAGACCCACTTTTTCCGCATACATGCTCAATGCGATTGGCCGGGATGTGCAAATGTATGTGGTATAAGAGAAGCAGTAGGCACGACTAGTAGAGGAATTAAGTATTTCATTGATGGTAGTAGAAATTTGCTCTTTGTGTCATTATTTGTTGGCGATTTGGTGGCTTCAATTTGGTGCTGCAAGGCTACCATGTGGGCTGCTCGAAGTAAATGTAAGCTCTTTTTTTCGTCCCATATCCAAACTTGCATTGCAATCGCCTAATTCACGTCGGTTGAGGCGCAAGATGTGAAATTAGTCGGTCAAACATATATCAGCTACCCCATGCCACATTGTTTTAGCGAATGGAATCTAATCCTGCTTCTAGAAGAAGAATAAAATGGGTTAGTTGGGTGTTCTGTAGTAAGGCCTGATTGGTTGTATAATTGGTGGTGTTTGTCTGATTTGTTGGATAGTTGCATATCTGGTTGGCTGGGTGTTTGGTTATTTGTTTTTTCGATTGGTTGGTTGATCAGTTGTTTGGCTCCCATTTAGCGAATAATTACAAATCGAGGTTAAAGGAACGCTTCATGTAATATGCGAGGTTGGCACCGAAACTGTAAATTAGACGACTATTGCCATGTGACAGGATGGTAAGTGGGTTGACCTCACTGTCGCAACTTGGTCTTGTGGTCAGGGAGACTATGTAGAACGCACCTATTCCGAAGTCGTCTTCCATAGTAGTTGTCAAGATTCCCAGCATCAGACAGTGGACTTGATACATTCTCAAACGTTTCGCCGGCATCGTAGTCGGCATCTTCAGTTAGTTTTGCCATTCTCCGCACCAACCTACGAACTCGTCAGAGACGATGAATTGACTTCACTTGTCTCTGACGAGTTGGTAGGTTGGTGCGGAGAATGGCCAAACTAACTGAAGATGCCGACTACGATGCCGGCGAAACGTTTGAGAATGTATCAAGCCCATTGTCAGATACTGGGAATCATGACAACTACTATGCCAGACGACTTCGGACATAGTCTCCCTGAACACAAGATCAAGTTGCGACGACGAGGTCAATCCACTTCTATAAATCGAAAGGAGACTGCGACCGTAACAGAGGCCACAACATCTTGGTCTTCATGTATTGAATGGTAATGATATTGTAAATAATTACTTGTTCTTAATTTACCAGATTTATTGCAATGTTAAGTTGAAAATGGAGCTAAAGAAGGACGATACTTTGACCCTTTTTGGATGTTCTAGTGATCAGATCAAGTGAGAAGTTAGGCAGGACTGTATATGGAAAGACAACACACATCGGCTTTATCCTTAATTTCTTCTCCAAGTATAGTTACGGAATAAAGGCTTGTGTTTTAAAATCTATGATAATACGGAAGATGATACTAGCCGATAGAAACCATTGTGATAGTGAACAGGATCGGCTCAAACTAATATTACTTGGGAATGATTGTCCCCTAGGTCTGATCGAAAATAATATTCGTTTAATATAGAGTACCTCTTGAATAGTGAATACTTAAAGAGAGATGGGGAGACTCATTCCCATGGTTTGTCTTTGCCTCTGTACATTCTCTCTATAAAAAAGGGGTCTGCATTGATGTAGTCGGTCGTACGACGGAAGAAGGCTTAGCATGTTTTGACCGTAATCGAAGGTGATTACCTCGGAAACAGCGTCAACAAGAATCTTACATTTAAGCCGATTGACAGTTGGTTAAGAAGAATCCGCCGTCTTCTTCTGGTTAGATCGACCTTCGAATCTCTTCATAAAACACTTTTACTTAACATAATTATGAAACATTAGATCCCTCGGGACCCAACTTCCCAATAGTCTGGATGGAAATGTCATATTTGATAACTTGGCAGATCGAGATCCCGAAGCAGAATTTACGTTTCTGCAAGATTCGTCTTCTGGGCATATTTCCTTGATCTAGTTGTATTTGCTGAGATATCTTTTATTTCGAGTAAAAGTCTGTAGTGAAAAAAATCGAAGTTTGATCCCAGCTGAAGACGACGAGGATTCTTCTTGGCCTGATGTCGGTTGATAAATCACTTTATACCTCATCAAAATGCATTTAATTATAGTATATATATAGCCTTTAGAGACAAGTCAGAGAATTTTTTATTCTTTTGATTAAAATGATACTCGCTCTGATGCTGTTCGTCATATGACGGCCGAATGCTCAGCATATTTTGACCAAAATTAAATGTGATTGCTTTGGCATACCATCAGCAAGAATGTTCCAGTAAAAATGACCAAGAAAAGCCAACTTATTTTTCACACTCTTTCACTGGAAATGGAAATATGCTCAACAAGTGAAATGCTTGTCATTGCTTTTGAGCTCGCCAATTAAGTGTCGGCAGTCTTTTGTAAGGGCAATAGTCTGATGGTATTCCTGGCATTATTTTAAAGTATTAATATATTTCGAATTTATCACTAATTCTTGAATAAGAATTTAGATAGATATGAAGACTAAGATGGTGTGGCCTCCAGTATGGTCGCAGTTTCCTTTCGATTTATAGAAGTGTGTTGACCTCGTCTCAACTTGGTTTGGTTGTCAGGGCGACTTAGTAGATCGTACCTAGTCCGAAGTCCTCTGTCATATTAGTTAGCATAATTTACAACATCAGACCAAGTCCACTGTCTGATGCTGAAACTTATGATAACTGCTATGACAGAGGACTTCGGACTAGGTGCGTTTTACTAAGTCTCCCGAACAACAAAATCAAGTTACGACATTGAGGTCAACCCACTTCCAAGAATTTAGATAACCTAGATTTCGAGACTGATGGTAAAGTTTTTCCCACAATTATATAAGTCGGCATGCGGATATTCTTTGGTTTCACTTATTCTTACCTCCTAAAATGTTTCCCTATCCAAGCTTGATTTTAATTTCCACCCCGCTTAGGTCTCAGCATTCCTAACAGGATTCGTATTAGTTATTAAAGATTACTGTTAGTTTCGAGACGCATTCATACTGAATTTAAGTAACGACGTCTAATTGCAAACTCCATTAAAGTAGGATTTGGGAAGGATCTTGCCTTTTAAGTCAGATCTGTCTTGTGATCAAATAGCATCTGTGGCTATGTAACGTAACTCAAACGTATACCCGCCATGTTTGCCACTGTGTTATGTACAGTTGGCGAAGCAGATGACACCTAGACGAGGACAAGACTGCAGTCTAGTCCAGCCGGGATAGGAAAAAGCTTTAAGAGGCTCACTTATAGGATTGTGAAAAAATTTCGTTATCAGTCTTTAAATCGCTTTGAATAAGTGTTAAAGATTTATTCAAGATTTACCGATAGTTACAAAACCTACTTTATATGTATACAAATAATGTAGTCGATTGTACCGAAAATGCCCCATCGCTGATCCCAATGTAAATTCTATATGCTAGAGGCCTGATCTCCTTGATATTCATATTGCTACGCGACCCAGGGACACTTGTGACAGTATGGCGTGGCGGTGATATGTCGAGATTATACACTGCGCTACCACAACTCGGGTTCAATTTCTGTTGGGGGTGATAATGATACCAGTTTAGAGGTGGCCGAAATGGCAGCTTAGCCCAGCTTGGACGAGAATACCTTTAAGGGCTATGCGCATGGAAATCTTCTTGGAAATTACATCTATCAGTCTTGCATCACCTTGAACAATATAGACTGACTGGAACTAGATTCAAGATTTACCGAATATTTCGAAGCCTACTTAAGTGACATTATTCGATATAGAATGTCTAGGCTATTGTTTAATTGTTGAGCTTGTTTTTCAGTGCTCTACCTTGCCCTGCGACCCGAGTGCACTCGTGGCAATGTGGATTAATGGTTAGAAAATCGAGATCATACGCTGCACTGTCATGATTCGACTCCCGCTGGGGGGTGTTGATGTAACCTGGGCAAGGTCGAAATTGCAATCCACTCTTTCCTGAATGGGGATGCTTTTTGGAAGGCAACGCCGTGTGAAATTCGATGGAAACTTTATGTCTACTTATATTATTGTGGGAAAATTCAGCTACCAGCCCTTGATCACCTTAAGCGAAATAGGATGAACACATCTCATATATCTGCTTTATTGGTAGTCGCAAAAACCTTTTTACAAACGAAAAAAGAAGTAATCTGACCTTTTTTGCAACTTGGTCATATTGGCAATAAGACCTAAAGGAAAGCATAATGTCTGGAGTCCATAGTATGCAAAATAATCTCCAGAGTCTGACCGTGGACTTGATACATTCAGGACTCCGGGCAAGGTGCGTTTCTTCAGGTCTTCCTGCCAATATGACCAAGTTGCGAAAACAAGGTCAAATGACTACTATGCATCAAAAGGAGACTACGACCAAAATAGAGGCCACAACATCTTGGTCTTTGTATCTACGAAACAAAGAAAGATTAACTTTAATCGAGAGGGTAACATCTTTACGAGTCTAGGCTCTAGTGCTCCGAAGGGGGCTATCTTGCAACAGATCCGCTTGCCGACTTACCGTTCAATTTGATCAGGACAGAGTGGACCTATTGAGTTCACTTCCATTTCAAATGAAAGTGTCATTAAGAGGTTTTAAAGGTAGATCTCGCCAGAAGACCTTGGCACCATATTCTTCAGTGTTACTTTCAAGCGTATCGTTGGTCAATCCAGAATCAAAAGTTGGATTCGAGTCTCTGGCTTCAAGAGATTCCGCTGAACAGTTCTTTCGAACACCTCTTCATATCTATGACTATTGGTGCATCAGCCCAGATCAGCGATACCAGCTTCCTTTGAGACAGGCTTTAAAAAGATACCAACCATGGAGTGGGTGAGTACGCTAAGCAGCATTTATGTATTCACACCAAAGTCGACACAATCTGTTCACAATTTGGGAGTAAAAGATATCCAAATGGGTCTTCTTCTGGCATCACAGATTCCTGAGATGTACTATTATATGTAACTATCAGATGTACCAATAGTTAAG